GGTCAATGTACGTACGCATCGTGTACGTAGCTACGCGACACGATACGTCCAGCCGAAATCGACGTTAGACGCTGAAAACGCCTAACGTTAATTCTGTACTCGTATCAGTATCGATCGATCTTCGTTCTAAGAAAATAACACCGAGTTAACATAATACGTAAGCAACGTATTTAGATAGGTTAGCAAATACGTGGCGTACGGCGTGCAGATCCGATAAAAGGATACAAGTCGTGACGGAGAAAAAGCGATCGGGAGCGGCAGATGCGAACCGGAGGAATTCTCGTTCGAAGATGAAACGTCATAACCAGTGTAATCGCGTACTTGGCGTCAGAGGCAATGGCCAACGAGAGCGCGCCACTTGCCATTTTCGCTCGACCATGCAGGATCGTTGACGCGTATACAAACGCGGCCCTTAACCCCTTAAATGCGCACCGGCCGATATTACGTCGTCGCCGCTATTAAACTGCCTCCCATTCTCCTATATTCCTCTATCCTTTTCGCCCTCGTTGTTTCTTCCGTCTCGTCGGTCGTGCCGACTATCGCTCTTTCTTTTTCGATCGGTTTTCTTCCTTTACTCGCGCGAAATCGGACCACGCGTTACCAAACTTTTCGCTGACCACGAGATTCCGTAAAACGTGGCAATTTAACCGTTCAATCCTGATCGAGTCTTGGTCGAGAGGAAATTGGCGAAACGACTGCGTCGAATGCTTGGACGAATCCACGGGAAATTGGTCGACCGGAGCGGAGGGAATTTCTTCGATGTAACCCGATGAACGAGTATCCTTTCGTTACACGCGCGCCACGTGTACGTACACGCGAGACGCCGCGAACGGAGCAAAGATCATCAAACTCGCATACAAACTTTAATTACTTCTCGCGATGAATTGCCGGATTGTGCAGTAAACTTGGGGTGTATCGCACGATGAGCGGCGTGAGCACGATGACGGCGGCCAACGCCACGGCCACCGAAGGCGCGTACACGCTTCCTTACATGACCGCCAACCCGACGGAATTGACCGGATCGCCGCAGCAGCTCTGGAACGCGCAAGGTAAGCTATCGTTCTCGATCGCTTCTCGCTAAAGAGCACGTTCCTCTTCATCGATTTTTTTTCTCGCGCGACAGGAGCGTTGAGCACGGCCCTTCCGACGATCTCGGAAGATTACGGAGCTGGCGGCAAGTCGTCGGCCACGGTGACTCATCAGCCTTTACCGGGATTTTTGCAACCGTTCCGCGGCAGAGTCAGCTTTCGTGGATACAGCCAGTCGTACCCGAGCCAGCAGAACAACGCTACCGTCGGAGCGGTGGCCGTCGACGCGTCCGCCTGGAGTTACGCCCCGGCGTCCAACGATTCCTTGACTTCGCAGTACGCGTCGCCCTCCGCTAGACAGGCCGTCAATCCGTCCTCGACGCCGACGCAGCATCAGCTCAGCGCCACGGCTAGTCTTACCGCCAGTGAGTACCTCTACCTTTTTGCGTCTCTCTTACACTTTTCCTATTTTCTTTTTGCTTCTATTTTTTTTTTCTTTTTTTCTTCAATTCGCGTACGCCCGCGAGCATCGTTTTCGTTCCGTTCGCGCGCGCCGCTCCTCCGCGACGAGAGAACGTCTCCGATCGCTCGTGCTTCTCGAACGACGACGAATCGTGTCGCGTTACGTTCGATGTCTCGAAAGACGATAAATCGTTGGCGCTTCGAAGCGTACGCGAACGCGCTGGATCGTGTTGCGTGCATCGTAAATAACGAGAAAAGGATTCGATCCGTCTCCCTCGAGCGAGACTTACTTACGAACGGAGCGAGAGAGAGAGAGAGAGAAAACTGGGGGAGAAAAAAAGAGACGGAGAAGCTCCGAGTTGTTTCTCGAGGGGAAAATATCGCGTTACAGTTCTTTTTTGTCATTCTCGCGCCCCTTTTTTTTCCATTCTTTTTTTTCTTCGCGTTCGTTCGTTCGTACGCTCGTCGACGGAGAAACGAGACACGCGTCGTCGAAGTTTCTTCGATCTCGTTAGAAATCGCGGTTCGATCGAATCGTTTCGCTTCCCCTCGTCTTCTCTCGTTCGCGACGAGCCGTGCTCCGGTTCGACTCGACCCGCCTCGACCCGCCTCGTCCCGTCGACGGAAACACCGATCGCGCTGACGTCAGATGCTACTGCGCTCGAATATCTCTTCTCCGCAACCGCTCCTGGTCACACCGCAATCCCGCTATCCATCTGTTCGCGTAGTCTCGGGGGAACGATCGTTTCCCAACACGGTCATTGTATCGCGATGTTTCGCTTGCGACCGATTCGTTCTAAAGAAAAGCGAAGAAAATTTACGATTAACGAGTCGCGTTCCTCCTTTTTATGATAAAACCTGGTCCCGATACGTATCTGATTTTTCGTACCGATTCGCGAGCAACGTGCGCCGGACATCCTAAAGAAGATGTCCAGCGAACGCGATTGGTTCTCGATCGCAAAAATCAATTGACCCATTTTCGTGCCGGCATTGTAGCCGACTTACTTTGTGCAGGACGTTAGCTACGTAACACGGTGGCAACGTTGGTCGGATGCGCGTTTCACCGGCTCGAATTATCGCGGCATTGTCCCCGCTGTTATACAACCCAGGAGGCAGACATCTCGCCACGAACGAACCGGCAAACCGTAGCATCCGTTATTACGGGCCATTGTTGCAGACCAGCCGTTTCGCGATTAACTCTTATCGCGAGGTTCGTTCGACAGCGTTTCACTAAAAAACTCGACGCTGGTTTTTTCTCCTCTCCTGTTTCACGAAACGAACAATTCGCGCACGAACGTTTCCCGTCGACCAAATATTCAGCCGTAGTTGGCTACATTTAAACGACACCTTGAACCGTTTCCCGATTTTCCAGCGAATCGAATATCGTTCGCCCGATAGAATATCACGAGTGGCGCGAAACCACTCTATCGAACGACGGTATTCCACGCTGCTGTACAATCACCGCTGTCACTCACAATGATCGAGTAATCACCGTCGGCTGACCATGCGCCTTCCTACGCTACTGCGACGGATCCCGATCCGCGACAACCGAATTCGAGTTCTACCTTCGCGACACCGCTCTCTACTTTGTCGAATCGTGTTCTAGTTTCACCGCATCCTGCGCTAGAAACAACTTCGTTTAACGGTCTACAATTTCAGACCAGACTTCGAACTTAACGCTCTTACCACGCTAAGCTTCGACTTTCTCGACTTACTCGATAATCGAGCCCTTTTAATCGACAAGCATCCACTGCGATTGGATCGGTAGCGCGTGTACTTATAAAACGCACCGTGTCGCGTATAAAACGCGCGGCTAGTCGATGACGGTGCGATAAAAGTTCCATTATTGCCACGTCGTGTCCGAGCAATTTCGACGAAAATTATGGAAATGATTAAAACGGTAGAAAAAGACAGGAGAATCGAGCAAGAGGTAAAATTAATGAAAGCGGATATTTGTTGCAAAAGCGCGCGTAACTCGGCATCTAGGTCAGAATAAATTGGATAGGGGTTTTTCAAAATGCCAGTTTATCTGTGTTTTCGATATTGGCATCGCGCGATGAGAGGGAAAAGAGCATGTTCGTTGAAAAGGATTTCTTCGCCGTTAAAACGCCAGAGAAGCAATTAACTGTTGGTAAAGTGTCGCGGTATATCGTGGAGCGTAGAGGTATGCCGCGGCCAGGAAAGAGGATTATTACATTTCTGAATATACAAGCGGTTTCTTTTTAATCTTGGCACGCGTTTAATAAGCGCGGCGCATTGTTCGTTCTGTCAGCGTGAAGGTGGTTGTTAACGTTGCCGCTCGCAGCGACTCGTTTCTAGCTGCCCGTAAAGATCTTAAAAAGTTCTCGCGGAAACGACCGCGAGAGAACGCTTCTCGCCTTATTGTCGCTTCTGTCCGACCCGTGAAAACACGAGTCCCGTTAACTATTACAATTAGACTCCGGGATAGCCGAGCACTTCCGTGCCCGCCGCACGTACAACGATAATAATTACAATATTAATCTCGAATAACACTTTCGTTATATCTACATATGTTATGTTCTGACCATACATACGTATACGCTCGCAGGCTACAACCATCAATTTTGCAAACGCTTTTTATTCGAAGAGGTAGAAAGCCGCAACGTAAGTAAAACCGATAACCCTTTCGCGCTCTAATATTTTTGAACGGTACCGTATTTAATCGCTTATACGTTTACTCGGTGTTAATCGGGGCGGAATGCAACGGTGTAAGTTGTATACTATGCCGACATTTGTATCCACAATAGTATCCTACACAATTCCATTTATGCGCGTACACACAGCTGTACCAATGCATGAGTAATAAGGCAATCGATCGACAGCCATCTTGAAGCTTCCGCTATCCAATCGAGAAAGTGAATCGTACAACGTAATCGCTGATAACTACCATCGATCGTTTGTCCTAGCGTAATCCAGACCGATGACAAAATGAACTTTCCCGTAAATGTTCGTTACTTCGAACAAATTAACGTAGCGATGTCTCCGAAGATCGGGCATGCTTTGTTCGTGGAGGAATCGCGTCGTTGTGCCAAATTTATTCTCTGTTCGTATTTTTCAAAAACTTCTTACTCGTCGTTGACATCCGAGACAAACATTTAATATTAATTTTCAACTCTGTTTCCGTGCCACGGGTATCGTTCGTTTCTTCGCGGCGGAACATTTGAAAAGTTTTTATCGGTCGTACGAGTAGCCGTGAAACGTGGATGGAACGGTTCAACGGCTCGCGAGGAGAAATAAAAAGCCATTTCCGTTGGTTTTATGTATTTCGCTCGTTGCAAAATAAGAGGTTTTTTACGAGACACCGGTACGCGAACGTTGCGTCGAAAAATCGCGATGGATCGGACACTCACCGAGCTGACCGAGTGACGATTATTCGCGCGGTAACGGACGGATCTGTGTAATATACGCGGTCTCGCTGAAAATATCGCTAACAGTAAACAGCGGAGAAATTTCGATACGCGTTATCCGTAAATAACGATGATGGCTTACCTGTAAATAGGTTCGCCGCTGTCCTCTTTGAACCATAGCACCATGGAGATGGTGTCGTTCGGTACTCGGGGTTGTATGTTACAGGGCAAAGTCGCCCTCTGTCCCGCCACACCCTGTATCGACTCCATCGGTACTGAAACATACATTTTGACGCACCGCTGAAAACTTTTGCTCCCTCTGCTCCGAATTTCGAACCAGCTAAACCAGGAGTTATGACTTCGAGTAAGCATTATTCTTTCAAGGAATAAAATAAATATTAGCTTACCGCCTTTCGAACGGAGCAACTTTTAAATAAAATCTCCGATACGATCCGTTCGCGTGAAAGGTTCTACGAAATGACACGTACGCGCAATTAAATGTTTTAATATCGAGGAGGTAACGTCGTTCGATAGAATAAAATTTGATGGATTTATAGAGCGATCGGTAAGAAAGTCGAATGGCACGTTTTTGCGTTTAATTTTGGTCGTCTTCTTTTTTTCGAGCGGAGGAAAGGCGAAACGTATCGATGCCTCGTTTAAAAAGCTTTTACAGAAAACGGTGAGGATCGAGAGGTTCTCGGGTACCACCGCCTTTGAAATCAAGAATTATGAGGGAGCAGGGAGTTATGGATATTTTGTCGAAAAAGAAAAATGTCCCGTGATGCATTGCCTCGGAATGGAAAGTATCGATGGTTAATAGGGTGGAAATAATTTATCGTTCTCCGGTATTCACGCGTCCTCGTGTATATTATAAAACGATTAACGTTGCGCTTCTTGTTCGGTGATATACCGCTTTCGCTGTACGCTCGAAATTGACGGTCGAATTTCCTTTGATCTTTGCTCGTTTCGCGCAGCCAATCCATTATTTTTTCAATCGTGAAGGCTTTCGCGACGTTGCTTTCGCGCAAAGGGCGAAATCGCGAATCTAATGGTACTCGTCTATTCGAAACGCAGGTTATTCGAATAACGTCGAATCTGGTCGCCTCTTCGATACTCGCGTACATACGTACGTATTTATCGTAGCGAGCGCGAAAGCGATTAAAAAGTTTCTACTTGTTTCATTTGAAATGCCTGATCCTGTAAGAGTAGAGTCTACACCTACGCGCGCATAAATTTTGATGGACGAAAGGATTTTGAACGATAAACGGTAGCGTAAAACGAATCTGTTGTTGGTCGTTCGATGCAAAATGGGTGCTTAAGCACGGTTCACAAGGCACATGGTTCCGTCGACGAGCACTTCCGGCAATAATGCAGATTTTTATCGAGCAAAATCGTGGTTACCGCAACAGCTCATGAATAATCCTTGTACAATTTGATCCATTTTTGCTTTCGAGAACGCTTCGGTCCGGTTGAAACGCTTCGAAATCACCCACTCGTTCCTTTCTCGTTGCCGCCGTAATTAGCCGAGGTATTAATTGCCCGAGAACGACTCGTAAATTAACATCGATGGCTCGCGAATATTTACGACCGGCCTCGTAAATCTCATCCAGTGAAAATCGTTCGTTGTTTCGTTATTTATAGGGCCGTTGATTCCGCGCTGTTTGATCGTCGAGCATGTATAGACGTACACTGTATTCCTATATTTTCCAAATAAATAAATCCGCCGTCTACGCGGAACTACACGCGATCGATACAAATACGATTCGATCGCGGGCAGAATGTAATTAGATTTTCTATTCGAATCGTTTAGAAAATTGAATCTCGGAACGAAGGAGCCGGCTCGTAGGAAATTAGGCTCGGTATCGGTTAGCCAGGAAATAAAGGGTGAACGCGGATTCGCGATACGAGATTCGAGGTAAAACGTTTTACGCGTTAATGCTAGAATTTCCGGCGGAACGCTTTCGATCGACCGCGTTCACGAATTATCCGAGGGTAAATTTCGCTCAAAGACAAACGACCCGAAGAGCAAGGCGACGCGACCGCCGTTTCTTCCATGATTTCAAAAACGAATTTCTGCGTTACCACGTAACAGTTTGTGAAGGCACGTACTTGCATAAAGTCGTTGTAACACGGACGTAAATGCAATACGTGTTTCCCTAGCAAAATGCATACAGAGACTCGAAACGTCCGCTCTCGTCGTCGACGAGTACCGAGGCGACATCGACTTAAACGAATTTCACCGACAAACTCCGTCGTGACGTTGTCATTTTCACGTGAAACTCGTTTTACGGGGCCGCCAGAGAGTTCCGCGGTATCTGTGATTCCGCGTCCAAAGCTTTTCCCTCGCACCCTTTTCCTTTGTTTCGAGCTCGGTCAAGGAAACGTCGCGTTATTGGGTTTGTTCGGTATAATCGTAAGGGCCCGTATCTCCGTTATCCGATCCCTATCTTCTCCGCTTCCCTATTTTCTTTCCGTAGATGAAATCGTTTACTTTCCACTGTACGTTTCACCGATTAAATCGGTTTCGAAAGGAAACCTACGTAGCGTTGAAATATGCCCTGTGCGAAAATTAGAAAATAAAAGACAGACGAACGTCACCGCATCACGAAAATTCTCTGTTCCGATTATCCCACGGTCGGCGGAGGTAGTTTCGAGTTATCTCGCGGGTTAAACGCGTTAAAATGAACCGTCAAGACCTGACACGATAACGCGATACATTTATCGCGGTTGTAAATTATCGCGTAAATAAATCGCGTTCAACTCCACCCTTCGTTAAAGAGTATCAAATAATTTCAACGTAGAAAATTGAAAGTCGAAGATGAAATTTCTGTTCGAAATTTATTCGCGAAACTATACACGCGTTTATTCCACGTTTCGCTCGTGTATCAGCTCGAGCTAGAACTTTTAAATAAGACTCATCAATTTAAAGCGTGGAACAATGCAGGCGCTAGTTAATTACCAACTTTCGTACGCTCTCGGTTCATGGTCCTCCAGGACAACGAAAACTAATTAATACGGTTCAAAAACCATTAGGCAAAGCAATCTTGCATTGTACCTACTCCGAGGACTTTTAAACGACTGGGAATTTAAATTAAATTCTTCAGAAAACAATGATGCTGCACGCCACCGTCAAGCGGTCATAATAATAAACCGGGTCTGCTTGTGACACTTCTGTTGATGAGTATAATTACCGCCACGCTAAACTCGGACCAGAATTTTGAGCCAACCTCTCTCCTCGTCCACTACCGGCCGTGTTCCTATTCATTCCTCTCGCCTCCCTTGCCGTTATTCCGTAAATTTTTGTTACGCGACTACCTTCCGCTATCCGTTTCGCTTCCGTAGCAATTTCACCGATGGTCATTTTTCTCCGAGTCAATTTGCCTTAAACGAGTTATAAGTTACTTCGGAACTTTGCGCCCGGGTTAATTAACGACAAAGGCAGCCGCGTTCTCGTCTGACGAGTTACTTCCACGATCCTGTATATCGGTTAACGAAAGCTTGTAAAATGTGCTACAAGAATTATTATTTTGAAAGAAGCCCTACGCGTTCAATTGTTACCGCGATGTTCGGCTCTAACTCTAGCATAACCGTGGAGCGCAGTAGTAGATCGGTCCGTGCTTGATCAGACTACGCGAGCTCGCGTTCACCGCGTGGGTAAGCGTACACGCATTTTCTAAAGTAGACGAGACGGTTTCGACGTTCGTTAAATGATTCGGAATTCTTTTCATCGCTAAATATATCGTCCGTTCGCGAAAAATGGCTGGAACGTTTGCGGTTTATACCGCTTGTTACGTGGAAACTGTAGCGGTCGATTCTTTCGAGCGGAAGAAATTTGGATGGCAAAGGAAAGGAAGGGCGAGATACGAAGAATCATTTCCAAGGCTGGTGAAATTCCGTATTTAGCGGAATGCCTTTCATTCGGAGGCGGAGCTAGCCAAAAAGAATGGACCAAGCAGAATATCTTTCTGGTTCTTTATGTCCGGTCGCTGAGACGGAATACCGACCTGGCGAGAAACGGCTCGTAAAGGTTTCGCTGCAGCTGGCTTGCATACATTACGAGCCTTTATTCCTCCAGAAAAGGAAAATGGAACGGACCGGGGGTTTAGAGAAAGTTTTGAAAGATGGCTGCAAGAGAAATCTAGCCATCGGTACCTCGAATCGGATCTCTCGACAAAGAGATACGAGAGCAGAAAAAGCAACCGACGGGACGCGAATATTTCGACCGGTTCACGATATTTTCACGCGGCTCAGTGTTATCCTTCGAATCGATCGTTTGTCGCTCCGGTATGTTCGTGCCGATTCGATTTCCCTTTAATGGAATTCGAACGATCTCGAAGAAAAATAAAGGAAAAGTCGCGAACTTGGTTGCCAAGCGAGTGGAAACGAACAGATATTCGTGTTCGTCGGAGGACGATAAAAGTTTAATTACGTTTCTTGTAAAAATTTCCAAGTTGTGTTTAACATCGTTAACGGAACACGCGAAAGACGATAGAAACTTTTCTGATGATCTAATTTTTTCGATGCATCTCCTGGATGCGTCGAACGTTAATTGGTCGCGACGTTAACCGTTAAAAAGAGTTAGTGTATTATATGTATGTATACTTAAGTAAGGAACGAAAACAGTTTGTAGTCTGAAAGTTAAAGTCACAGTTTCATCTTAAACGGGTTGAAACTTTGTTAGTAAAATATTTCCCGCCTCTAAACAGCGTTCGCCTGGTTACATAATTGCCGTGAAAAATGTGTGTTTGCGTAGCTTTCGGTCGCAACACCGCCGCGACCGGCTTTGCAAACAACGAAAAATTTATGCGATGCTTTCCTACGAATAAAGTACGCGCGTACGAATCCTCTTTTCGAAATCAAATTTCCGACGTTTATCCCGAATCTATTCGAAACGTGCGATCGACAGGAATAGAATTTTTTCAGCGAAATAAGCATAATGTTTCGCGCGTTAGTAGTTGGAACGTTCGAATAGTTTAATCGTATATCGCGTCGAAAGACGGGTCAGCGTAAAGAAAAGAGTTGGATGAACAAACGTAATTGACAAACAGTCGTACACGGTTGGTATTGCCGCGTGCATGCCTTTTAACAGGGCGTTACGCGACTTCGGATCGAAACGATCGCCGCGGGAACACGTACAGTTGATTTTACGCGAGCCCAAATCCGCGGCGAGCATGTGTACCGTAAAGTGCAGCGTGTGTGTACACGAATCCGTTGTTTGCCTTCGAGTTTACGATACGAGTTGAAAGCTATACTCTGCACATGTACGCTCGCGGCT